TGTACTTTTCTGTCTTCATTTGCTTGCAGGTTGAAGTAGCCAGTTACTGCGTACGTAAAACTGGTTTTGCCTCTGTTATTGCACTGAATTTGCCCTGTGTGTCTGCAGGTATGAGCCAACTTCAGATAATGAGAGAGATTAACGAAACAAACTCACAGCTGAAGATTGATCCAAATGACAGCTAATCTGGCAAATGCAAATTCTAGCATCTACCACCCTCTGCTGGGTATGAAGGAGTAAAACCCTCAGAAGCCCTTCTTGAGCGGCTGTGGGGATGCTATACAACATCCATACGCATGTATGGACACTGAGAATGCCTGTAATACTCTGAAATTTTTAAGCAAAACAATTGTGCATCGGTCACTTTTATTTTCATGACCACTTTTTAAGTGGGCAACAGTGTGATGTTCTTTCTTGGGCTAGGAGATACATGAAGATCCTTAGCATTTATAAAGCCTCTCCTGTAAAACATACACATTATAGGTTTAAAATATAGTGTTCCGAATCCTTGCAAAAGACTATGGACAACTTCCACTTTTATTTATACTTCTACAAGACTTTGGGAGTGACAGCACCGTGCCAGGTAGGGGGTCTGTCAGATTTTGGCCGCTGAGAGAGAGAATTTTGTATAACTTTCTCATTTGGTGATTTTGTCTTAACCTGCACAGCTTATTCCTCAAGATTACATGTTTTCATTCACTGACACACAGCCAGATTCTTCCTTCCATTGCAGCTCAATGTGTTTAAATTAAAAAACCTTTACATAGAATTTGACCTTCTTTTGAATAATTACCTGAAGTACATGAAATATAGGAAGCCTGGAGTACATTCACCTTCTCCTTTGTAGCATGTAACCTGGAAACGTAATAATTTAAGTATACAATGACTTACCTTTACAGTGTTTTGATGTTCTTGGTCCAATTTTACCTTGTACTACAAGCAGTCTGTCTAGGCAAATATAGAGGCACTATTAGTCACCTGGGGTTAGCCTGGGTTGCACCAAAGCCTATGCTCCTATAGCACCAAAAGAGACCCCAGCCTGTTTTCTCCTCTGAAGCCAGGTTGAGGATGTATAGGACTTTTGCATTTGTTGACCCTCTTCAGCAGATGTGTGTCTCAGTGACTCCTGCAGACTCTAATTCTGCTTTCTTGTTCCCTGCATTTAGTGCCTGTGGCTGGACAGAAATCCTGTGTACACATGGAGTGGTACTTTTACTACTGTCTAGGTATTTTCTTTCACTGAAGTTTCCTTTAACTGCTATTAAGCATCTGGATATACAGCACAATTCCCTTTTGGATGATTTCAGCTTTGCCAAATTAATGTTAATTACGAGGTCTTCCTGTCAGTTATGGGAGACACAATTTGGAAAGTGCTGCAGTTTCCCCATATGATGCTTTTGTGCTGATTAAACACGTCAGACTGAAGACGTCCGTGCAACAGAAACACAGACATGTTTGAAATGCTGCCAGAGACACGGTACACCCAAAGGTAGCATCAGAGCTGAAATCACACGGGTGAAGAGCTAATAGAGGAATCTTTGAAAAGTTACTATCTCATCATACATCTATACATCTATACCTTTAGAGATATGCTGAGTCCAAAAACACATCCCACTTCATATTCTCTAATTCTGAACCTGGACTGAGAATCTGCCATTTCCTAAAACACCTCTTCCTAATTAAACAGGATTTCTTTACTCCAGAAAAAGCTGGAGTTTAAAACAGAAGCAAAGTGGTGCCACGTAGTGTCACTGACTCTCTTGCACCAAGTCCATTGCAGTCCTCTCGTCTGCAGCAAACGTCTTGCCACCAGAGAGCACATCAGAGCCAACAGTAACAGTGCTGATTACAGCTGGCTGGAAAAACACCTTCATGCTCTTTTGAACTGCTTTCAGAAATGTGACCTTGCTTAATGAATTGAACTAACTACTTTCTGTAGCCGGGGATTGGCTTATCAGGTGGTGTTTCATCAACTGTCACCTTAGTTTTTTAAATATTAAAAGATGGATCTTTTAAATCTGTTTTAAAATTTAACAATAAAATCCGATGTCCTTCAAGCAGCAGACTGTGGTGTTCTGGAGGCTACTCTGGTACTTCTGACTGCTACAGCTGTAATACATGCTCATGCTCTGCCTGCACATGGGTGTGCAAGAGGGGCCAGCCTTGTAAACTGTTCCTACAGCCAGTGACTGCTCTTTTCCAACCCCATCCATCTACCCTACCCATCATGGTGACTTTCTTTTTGTGCCTTTTTCCCTGTGTCAGCAAGACACTAAAAAATTTTCATTAAGCATGAGCTTAATGAGACTATGATTTACTTCACGTCTTTCTGGCATTAGGGCATCAGAGCATCCTGGAATCAAATGCCATGCAATCTGAGTAGGACCATACCCCGCAGCCTCCCCTCCTTCTTCTTGTGGCAGGGACAGATGCATCCAGCTGTGAGGTCTGGAAGAGGTGGAGCAAGATGGGGGGAGGAGGAGAAAAGAAAAGGGACAGAAGTGTCATTCAGCTTATGCATTTTTCATTATTTACGAAAGGTTGTAAACCAGATAGATGAGCTGCAAATACACAATTTATGACTTCACTCGCATGAGATGTTCCTCTATCTTCAGTTATTTTGTCTTACTTCCAAGGCCAGACCATGCATAATCAGCCTGTGGAATCAGGAGATTGTGTCCCTCAATCTTTCAAGGGTATATTTGATGTAGAATTAGAAATTATAGCTGCTGTACCAGGTTAGTAGCATCTGCTGTCTTAGGCATAAATAAGTCTTAAGACAAACTTAAGATACAATGGGTTATTGCTTTACAATCACCTCGAAAGCATGAAATTCAGTAATTCGCCAAGTCCAATGTAGTGTGTTAATCAGAAAAATCCAAGAAAAGGGGGAAATAATTCTGGGCTAATACAAATCTGGGGGAAGGGGTACATACACTGGTATGTAACAGCACTACAAACTGGAAAGAATTTCCCTTGCTTGCCCTAGAATAAGCTATAGATCACAGAGAAATACACTTATTTTATACTGTTCCTTTCAGGAGCTGCAGACATGAAAGTGTCTGAGAGATAAGTCTGATTGTCTAACAAAACTAGAGTAAGAAGAAATTGAATATGAGAAACAGTTGTTAACCCAAAATGACAAATACATTTCTATTCATGAACTCTCTCTGTTAGAAGGGAAAATTAGGAAAATTATCATTCTGGCTAACCTATCAATGTCCTTCCTTTAGTATCTATCATCTTAGTATATGAAATTTTGTGAGGAATTTTAAAGATATAACATTAATAATTTTCCGCATCCTTCCTGCAAGACATCTATTCGCTTTGTGGCTCTGGGGTGCATGTGTGAGATATGAAGACATACTTAATGTCAGAATGGTATGCCATATCCACAATAACCTGCAGCACTTAAATGACACAGGCACATGTGCAATAGCATGGCTTTTGGGACATTATCAGTACATCTACTTATTGCCAGCAAATAATGACAGTCCTTGCAGCGAGATGTGGACATTTGATGGTTTTTGAAATTATATATTTCTTTATACCGCAGTGGAATTAACAAATGAAGAGTAGAGTCAAGCAGTATTTCTGATGAGCATGTCAGAAGAAACCGTGAAAGCTCTTTGCTGTAGACCAGAGACCTTTCCTATCTGTATACAACCTCAAGTGTGCTGCAAACCCCTTACCAGTGGATTTGGCACATTGACCTGTATCAAGGACATTAGAAGAATCAAGGCCAAGAGTGTTGACTTTGACTTCGATACTTCTAGAACCAAGATGGCATAATGGTAACTGCACAAAAGTCAGGACTGGGTAAAGAAATGCTTCGGGCTGATCATAGTGTCCTCTGCTTCCTTAGGGTTACGGCTTTGAACATGATATTATACCGTTTAGCAGCTTTCAACATGATATTATTGATCATGCATGATGGTCTCACTTGATTGTAGGCCCCAGTCAAAGAAGAAGTGACATGGCATCCACAGAGAAACCGAGGCTCCATCATCCAGTGCTGGTCTGTTGCAGTGATCTGTAGAGCAGCTATTACTGAAATGCAAGTGTTGAAATATAGTAAAGCAGGAAACTGGCCTGGAGGTCATCAGAGTCTCACCATGAATCAGGTGTAATAGGTTATTATGACCACCTCAAAGTTGTGCACTGGAGTCTGGAATTTATTGTAACACACCAAAACCGAAAGAAAGTTGTTTCCCTGGTGAGATTCTTGGCTCTGGATCACTACCGACACCAAACCTGTTAAAGGAATGAACAGAAAACCAAAGAGCTTTCCTGCAACCTCCTTAGACTCTGATTGCTCATTGTGACATTTCAAAGCCAAAATCCCAGCTATCGCAACTGAGGCATTCAGCTTCTTCACAAAACACAGCTGTCATCAGACTTGCTTTTGAAAGCTACTGTATTCTGAAAAACAGAGAGAAACCAACTTTCCTCCTCTTCTAGAGCAACAAAAAATCTGTTTCTTCAATTGAAATCTGACAATTTAGAAATAGAGTGGAAACAGACACCACAAAATGAGCCCCCAACCAAAATATCATGAAAAATAACTGAATTGCTAGCAAAATATAGATGTTCTAAATATTTGCAGCTTCCGTGCGTCAGCAAACACAATAGAACAGATTAATGGAGAACTTTCTTTTCACACAAAATAAATGGACAAGCGAAAAATTATTAAGAGGTAGCAATCTTCAGTTGAGTGATGGTCAAGCACAGACAAGCTCCCTTGGTGCTTGTGAACAGATATTAGCTGGCGGTCAGTCTGGAACAGGAGGAGCAGCTAGGAGATGTGCTGAGCTGGGGTTCAGACCTTTTGGAGCTCTGGCCATGACTAGGGTTGAGAGCAAGAATTTAGATGGTGCACCTGTTATGCTGTATTTCTTTGGAAAAAGAGGTATTATATTAAGATTGGATTCTCTAATACAACATATAAACTTATGAACTTCAGTGTTACAAAACTTCAAAAGCACCACAGATGAAACAGCTTCTCTGGATCAAAGGTTTATTTTTAATGACACAGCACTGGAAAACATAAGTTACAGATGACTTTTTGATACAGGATACATTATATATCGTATTTTAAAAGAATCTGTGAAGGTACGCTGCATAAATACATATAGTGAAAATATATTGTGTTTATTTCTTCTCAGAGATTAGTTCTGTTTCTTTTTTTTTTATTTGTTCAGCCAATTAAATAAAAAAGTATAGATTAGCATCATAACAGCTCCCCCTCCAGATTATCTCATTGTAACTACTGCAGCTGGAAGGGGAGACCGAGCCATGCCTTCTCAAAGGTTTAGCAGCTTTGAACATGATATTATTCATCATCTCAGAATGAAAATTTCACATTACAAACACAGATACTGTATCATGTTTTGGCAATGGAGCAGCTAGTTTTGCTTTGGAACAAAACCGTTTCCTGTAATGCCAGACAGTGAAAGAGCAATGCATGTAGTGATGATACTACACAGTCAAAGAACTATGATGAAGTTGTGAAAATGCATATATATCCATATGCACTTATATATACACATAAAAGTTCTGTGTGTATATATATTATGCATGTCCAAAAATAACATTGAAAAACGTTGCAGCAGTTAGTTATTTTTTTAAACACATTAAACTTATAATAGTTTGACCTCATTACTACAGGATAACTAATTAGATCTTCTGCAGTGCAACTCAATACAATACACTTAGTGCAGAGAAGTTAAGGTTTTGGTATTGAGGAGGCTAATTTCAGATTTCATGGGAAAGGACCAAATACAGGATCACCATAGCTCTGACAAAGCACAAACAAACCTGTTGCCACGTACATGTGAACAAATAAGGACATTTCTTTTTTATTTGATTTTTTTTTCCATGTACTGCTTCAGAAATTGCTAGCTTAACTGTTTGCATTCATGCTCATTTTGATATGTTTCAACAAGCTTTGTCTGGCACCAGTCTGTAAACCATTAACTTAGCTTAAACTACAAAAAGGTGGGCTCCTGTGTTTCAAAGAGGTTAAAAACCTACTGACTGATCTTCGTACCACGTTCGTCTGCCTGAGCGGAGAACTACTCCAGATGGCGTGTGAAGTTCTCTGGGAAAAGTCCTTTATAACTATTTGCATCTCTGTACTGACGCCACTCGGATTCCTTAATGCCTGTCAACCAGCCAGCCTCCTGCAAGGAAAAAGACAGAGTCTCTTAAACTTCAGGTGTCCCCCCTTCCTTGCTATGAGCTTCAGACCTGAAGACATTTCAGAGCCACATGGCTAAAGGATTTGGTGCTTTGGTTAAAAAATTTTGCACGGACTGTTTTCCTTGTTCTGCTAGAGCACAGTTTTGTGAGACTGAGTGACTGTGAGCATATTGTATGGCCTTTAGTCCATCTAACCGCTAGCTGAACCCAAAACTGGATAATCAGTCTTCCAGGTCATCCAGTATTATACCAGCTCTGCATTTGTGAAAATCTCTGTTGAAAGTTTTTCGAAGTTCCCACAATAATATTGGTGCACTTGTGCAGTAAGAGCATAGCAGTGAGCCAGAAGCATTACACAATACCACAGATGGGGAGAAAAAATAGTTTTCAATCTGAAATTTTTTTCCTGAGAGTTCTTTTCTCTCGTTCATGTATCGGCAGTCAGAAGCAACAACAGTTCTTGCATCCTCTGGAGTTACTATGTCTAGAAACTCAAACTTAGTTGATATTAAACTATTTTTCCAAAAATTCCTGGAAACCTAAACCAAAATTTGACATGTAAAATTGCAAACCAAACCTGCAGCCTAAGCAATCAAAAGAGATTTCTTATTGGAAAGTGCTGGGTTCTCTTAAGTGTTATCAATTCTACCTGGAATAAAATCAATTCAGTATTTTTTTAAAATGATCAACCTGTTCTCATCTCACTAACTCTGGGCTTTGTTCCTTTTAAGAACAGGAGCCAGAGCAAAGCCATGATGAACAGGGAGTTTCTGATGCTGCCGTATTATTATTGCACAGAGAGTACACAAGGAGATAGAGTAATATGAACGGATCTTCACATACAACACCAAGTCTTGACTGCTCAGTGGCTGCATTTGGTGGTGTACTGGCTCTCTGCCCCAAAATAAGCATCATTAAAGCAGATACAGCTTATGTATGGCATTGGCTGGGTACATGTACTGTTTTTAAAACATGTGGAATATCTGAGAGAAAGGAGAGAGGAACTACAGCTTTCTAGCACTGGCAGAGTAGATTGTACGAAGGAATTAACAGTTTTACTGGATATAACTTCCACTCAAGACTAATGGAAAAATTGAAACCCCTGGGTGGGACCAGCTTGCTTCAAATGGGGAATACAGGCTGATGTTACCAGCTATATTAGAATTATGGTTTTAGACAAGTAAATTTTTGAAGGAGAATAAAGAATAACAAAGATAAAAAGACTCTATATAAATCAACAAAGTACCTGGCAAAACCCCAAAAGATTAAGCTTTATGGTGATGTTAAACATGAGGGGCAAGTATGTACTAAGTAACAAAGATACGACCAGAATGGTTTCAGAAACATGAATACATAAAGGTTTATTCTCTCCACCGTTGCACACAATTTACTCCCATTAATGCTAATGAAATTTCGATGCATACCACAAGAGAAGAATATACTTCATGGATTCACCAAGTGAACATTAAGCATATTTAATACATAACACCCTAGAAAAAAAGACTGAAGACAGAGAGCAGATTTTGCTATCCTTACAGTAGTGTCCTATTCTGCAAATACTGATAACGAAATCGGATGAACTGCCCATGAGGTAAGATGCAGCATAATTTGAGTAAGGATAACAGAATCTATCCCTATAAAAAGAGCAAAGTGCCTTGCTGAAAGAAAAATCTTTTATTCTGAAATAAAAAAAACCCAAACACAAAAAACAACTACTTGTCTCTTGAATTAAAAAAAAGCTCAGCTGAGATGATGAACACTGATTATTACCTACCTTTGGACAGCATCAACCATCAAAACAATTTCAAATACAGTCCCCAGCACTCTTATGTGCCTAGGGCGTTAGTATTTAGACCTATTTTAAAAAATATTCTTCATTCATAGCAGTGCTCTTAGCTACCTCACTAGGCAGGATCCAGTCCCCCAACTCTCAAGCCCCAAATCAACAGGAGACTTTTCACCAACACTAACAGATGCGCACGAAGCGGCTGGTGCTAACAGTGTACACTATGGTCTTCTCTTTTAAAGCAGTGGCCAAAAATCAATTCACTTCACTGCAATTCAATTTAACACATGGAATAAAATTGTTCAAAAATTCACCTGAAATGCATTGTTAAAACAAAATTAGATGTCTTAAATATAATTAAACTGTTATTTAATTCAGGTTCAGGCTTCCAGAGGGCAGAGTTAGTTTTAAAGTATGCAGCACACATAGCAGCACCTCCATACATTTTGGCTGTAGGACACCACAATTTGTGTACAGTCTCAGTGCTCTCTGTGGGTGAATTTGTATTATTTCTCCAAATCCACACATAAAATGTCCAAACATCTAGGGACAGTGTAATCAGTTTTGCTGCAATGTTAAGACAAGATGATATATAGCAACATAATGCACAACTTGTAATTCACCTTCCATATTAAGTCTTTGTGTGCACGTGTGCCTGTATAACATCCACTACAAAGTAGCATAAAAAAGCCCTAGAAAATATACTGAGACCAGATCCTGTTAGTAGCATATATCCGGGACTTTAGCTGTAGCCAACTGTGCCATTTAGTCTCAAATGGAACCAAGTACAAAGACAAAATTAAAATATTCATGTTTTCTAACAGTAATGACATTTTGAATACACATTTCCCATTAACTATAATCTGTGAGAAATGAAGTGAAACAAAAAAAACCATCAACAAAAGAAAGAACCACGTTTTTACCTGATCAGCTGTGGTCTCAGAAGGAATTACTAGTACAATATCCCCTCGTTTTAAATCAAGCTCATCACTGTTAGCTGCCTCGAAATCATGTAGAACTTCAACCTGAAGAAAATAACACCAAACATATAGACATGATCTAAATGGAAACATTTTCTCAACAAAATTCTCTGTTAAGTCTTTACTGCAAAAAAAAAAAAGTGCTTTCTTTATGCAAACATATGGCTATAGGTAGGTACATTCAAATCGTTAATGTTGACATTGATTCACGTCAAAGTTTTCTGTTCATATCCTTGGATGCAGAGACAGCATAAGTTAAGTCATTCTGAAGCTACCGAAGGAAACCTAAGATCCTTTCCCAAGGTCACAAGATCTCAAGGACAGATGATACTGCAACACCCCACAAGTCCTGCCTCTCAGACAAGTCCTGCCACCCTTATTTCCTCTGTGTAAGGAATTTGCTTTCGTTCCCCACTATCGTTACTAGATCTGAAAGAGGGATGGCAGGATTTTGCAAATAAACTTGGGAAAGACTCCCAGGAACTGGTATTTCAGACTCTCACTCATTCTCTTGTTGTGGCCACTGGATATTATTCTTACAGTAAACATCCATGGAAATTTGAGTGGGACGTACAGCACCAATTTCAATAGGTGAGTAATGGTAACTCTCCTCTATGTTTGCCCTGGAAAGAGCTCCCATTTACTGGCAGATGGGCATGCCAAAAATATCTGTCTTTCACAGGGGCGATTATTAAAACATTGGCAGGATCAGCATGCCGTTGTGAACAGACCATTTTAACTAAATGGTTCTACCTCCTTAAGAGATACGCTATTCTAATTTTCTCAAAACACAGCCAGTTCCATGGTAACTCTGCAATAATGAAAGAAAATGGCATCAAAAACCAGATAGCAGGCATATATTCTGCTTCTTCTTATTTATATCTGACCCAAGAGAGTGTGATGAAAAACAAAAGATGAACTATGTCAGCATGTCTGAGTCAGAGCTGCACGATACTGTTCACCCTCACCTTAATGTTATTCTCAAAGTTTGCTGAAAATATTGAGCAATGAGAATAGACTAAGAAGAATGGCATACTTACGGAGTGCTATGGGACTAATTAGTCTGAACTATGCAAATTATAATAGGAAGCATGTAAAGTTCATCCACCCTCAAGGAGCTTTTCTGCTGCTCAGTGATTCTGAAGTGAGAAGCATTATCAAAGAACCTTGTGAACCAGGAAACCCTGTGGGTCTTGCCAGCCAAGGAGAGAATTTCTCTTACGCCTCATTAAACTTTTCTCTTTGATTACCCTAACAGTTTATAACTATAATATTATTGAAGTCACAGAATGACATTTTAGCTTCATTACCACAAATTGTAGAAGTCCCATGGGTTTCAATAGAACCAAAACTTCCACTATAGATTTTCAGGCCAGAAAAATGCCATTTTTTAATATTCATAGAATCGTAGAATCATAGAATGGTTTGGGTTGGAAGGGACCTTAAAGATCAAATATATTTTTAATATATCAGATATATTGTTAGCGTATAACATACAATGTTGCTGACTAACTCTGTGGCAGTGCAATTTTGCTCAATATATTCATTGTCAGTAGTAATTTGGTGAGAAGAAAGTGTTCTTGTACTTCAGTGAGTCTTACAGCTACATAAGGATATGCACAGCAACAACGGTGTGCAGAAAATGTATCTTCTCAGACTTCATGTACGAAGCAACAACGCAATGTTAAAGTTGTGTTTGTGTGTATTTGTGTGTGCATGTGTCTGGCTGTTAACCTAAGAGTCATCTGGCCTCAGGAAATCATCACATTGCCTGTGCAGACAGATACATCCATAGAAACCAGATCTGAAGGGATGTCTGAAAGAAGAATGAAGAAGCAGACCTTAAAGAGAAAGCCAGGCGGCATCGCAGAAGCTGCGTCTTCTACTGGAACGGGCTGATCTTGGGAAGGTGCAGCTTTCATTTCTTCAGTGGGTTTCTGCTCACTTCCAACTTGGGAAGTTTCACTGGGAGAAGTGTCAGTGCCCTCAGCGCCCATCTCTGCTGCGGCATCTTTGGACTCATTCACGACGACTTCGTGTTCTTCTCCCTCCCCCTCATTGTTTGATGCTGGCTCTATTACTACTGAAGGGATGCTGCTGACCTTTTCCTGGGGAAAAACAAACAAACAAACAAACCCACAAAAGCACCATAAGAGTATTTAGTACTTTATTTCAAGCAGGAAAACACAATTGCTTGTTTATTGCACAGGGCAAATACAGGAATGGGGATTTCTTTCTTCTCCACAGTGGATTCTTACATTAAGTCAGAAAACGGTACTTGTGCAAGAATGTAAAGGCGTAATCACTTCCCTGTTTTCACTGTTCCCTTTAGTCCTCCTAAGTCTACTTTCTATATTACCATAAATTATTGCAGTAAATAATAAAAATGCTCTGCAGGTAGTTTGGGTTTCATTTTCAATGTGCATGGAAATTAACAGTCCTTTCTCCTCCACTCTGCTCTTAACTTTGGGTTGGTTTGGGTAAAGTCACAAGTTCCAGGAGTCACTGTCCTGTATTTCTTTGGGAATTCAAGTCAGCAGGATAATAGCGATATAAAGGTGATGAAAGAAGGAAACATGACCTATTTCTTTGACTGATTGAGGGGATTTCTCCTGTTTTACAGCAATGTAACTGGGAGCAGAGAAAGCAAAAAGGCTAAGTAGGTACCATCTGACCAATACTGAAGCCTAGGACAAAAAGCATTTAATGAAACTTGTTGGAGCATCCAACCTGAAAAGAACATGTTCATCGATCCTCTGCCAGACCATCCTATTCTGGTGCACAGAAGAAATACAACGTGCAATGCCAGGAGGTGGCAACCGGAGGCCCAGCTGCAGAGTCTGCTCTAGTAGCTGTTCCCCACCTCCTCAGAGGTCACACAAGAAAAGGCAGCAGGCCAGATGCAAATACATAGCTTGACCACCATGATTTACATAAAACAAAGTAATGCTATTGATAGGACATGGTGCCAGGAGACAAGAAAAATCCATTCCTTTCTCTGCCTATTTCTCCAGAAAGCCCTGTTAGGTTATGTGATAAAGCTCGTCTCCACAGAGGAGCACAGAGAGACAACAGCAGGAGGGGAAGCCCAAACAATACCCTGCCCATGCTGCTCCCATGTCCATCACAGGAGCCACCAGCCCAAGTCCCATCTCCTCAAGCCCAGGGGCACAGAGGCAGGCACAACCTGAATTAAGGACTCAGGAGAAGGGACACTCTGTGTGAGTTACCTGAGACACATCAGCCTCCTTTTCTTCTCCTTCAGCTTTGTCACCTTCAGCAACACCCTCCTGCTCTGTGGTAGCAGCACCGTCACCAGCTCCTGCTGCCACAGCCGCACTGTCTTCTGCTGCCGCAGCCCCCTCGGTGGCAGGTACTCCCTACAAACAACAAGAGGGAGGGACTTTTCAGGATACAAGTTCTGGATATCTGTTGGAGAGACCATGGACCAGCCTCTGCTCTGCAACCTCCCTGGGCGGTGCCATCCCATGGCCTTGGTTTCCTTGGGGTTTCTCCTGGTTTGTGGGGGAGAGCAGCGCCGGGGGCTGCCATCCTGCCCCGATGCACCACTTGGGGAGCATAGGGGTAAGCTTGCACGGTGGAGACGATTAACAGGTGGGAGAGGGACATTTATGAAGCCTCACTAGGCACATTTAGCAGAGTCCTCAGGTGTTACTGGTGGAGTAACAGTTTGCCAAGGCTGTAGTATTTTTTCCTTCTCTTGCCTTGAAGCTGTATTGTGGAAGAAATTCACCACAGGTTTCTGCTGAGGAAAAGGAGCTTGCAAGATGTCCAGGGGTCCACAGGACCCTGCTAGTGGAATCTGTTCTCGCGAAGAGGCTCCAAGCCTTCTCCAGCTACTATCTACCTACCTCTAGACCTGGGCTGGCTTCAAAAATACTGCCTTAATTACACACAAATTATCCTTTCTGATAGAGAGCCTTGCAAATCGGGCTATCTCAGCAAGCAAATCTATTCTACAGCTGGTTAAAGATCACAAATCTTCAGATTCCATCAGATATCAGAAGAAAATATAACCGTAAAGATCTATAGCTAGGTCAGTACAAAAAGAAACATACATAAAAGCCCATTCGGTCTGGATATGACTAAACCATTTGTGATCAATCCATGTTGAAAAGTTAAAAGTGTGTTTTGTTCCAGTTCTTGAAAGGTGGATAGAAAAGTACCTGCCTATAGATCAATGTTGAATCCTTCATCCAGCAGAGACTGTTGCTGTAATCTATGTATCACCCTAATATTTGTATTGGTACATACTGGTGTATGCTTACAGTAGCATATTGGATATATACTTACAGTGGATTAATCTTAAGGGTTGGAGGGTGGAAGGTAAATGACAAAATTCATTCTGTTAATCCAATTAACTTCAACATGAAATTTTTAACGTACGGCAGATAGCACCAGGATAAAGTAAAAACACTGAAGAAAAATTGTTTTCTAGGTACCAATGTCAAGCTACAGTTAGCAGAAATATCTCTGATCTCCAGTTAACAGCCTGATACTCTTTGTTTCCTCAGTTTGATCTTTCCTCCATGGATTAGGCTAACTCAGCTACCTGAACTCAACTTGAACTACCTGCAATTGTTCATGGGCACTCTTCAAGCATTGTTTTTTAGCAATATCTAATATTCAGCACTACTCCTATTAGCCGTTAATTGATGTGGTAAGAAATTCTTCTGGAGTCCTTGAAGGCAGAAACTACTACAGGGTTTTGTAGAAATCACTGGAGAAGCTTTAGTTTAAATTGAAAATGCTGCTGACAAAGGATGCCCTATCGTAAAAAGAAGTAACATCAAAAGACACGGGCAGATGTTGACATCTTCTCCTGTGACTTGTAAGGCATGCAAGCCTACCACTCACAGTATTACCAATTTTAGCAGCCTTCACCTCTGAAGATATTCAAATAAATGATGAGTGTAAAAGCCTTGGAAGAGGCTAGTAGGAAAGAGGGGGAACAGAGTGCATATCAGATTGATTTTATACCACATGCTTCTAACAGCATGCTGCAGAAATTGATCTTGCTGTCTGTTGTGATTAGGATCAACAGTTCTTTTCTATTTATTGGATTTGTATAGCCCATTTTAGTTCACCAAGGAGGAGAATACTAATTTATGTGAATCAGCTCTCAAATGCCCTGCACTGAAAGGGTGACACCCTCACAGCCTGTAGCCATGGGTCACTGAATGTACACCACAGCTCACAATTGTGTAATCATTTGTTCTGTGCCTTAGAGTACAAAAACAATGCAAGCTAGATGATTAAAAAAAGCTTTTACAAAAATGCATGTGAGGTAGCACAGAATGAACCTCACTATTGGCCTGAAATATATTTGATTAGTACAGAAAAGAAAAAAAAAAAGAGGGAGGCTCATCCCACTGAATTCATACCCAGCTACGGCGAACCACATACTTGCAGATGTAGTTGCCTGTATTACCTTACTTCATATTGAAAACCAATCCTACAAACCTCTTTTCCATAGGTCATCAATAATATTAGACAGTCTAATAGTATTCCAAATCAGCTATCTCTAGCAGTATTATTGAAATTTGGACAGTTGTCCCATTATACCAGCCACACAGGCGGCAAAGAAAGAGTCATCCAGTACAATGAGGGCTGCGATAGAAGAACCACTTGACTGTTATAATTGCAGCAGAGGTGAATGCTTCTTTACCCAGGGTGCAGCTGATTCACACAGTTGCACTCTCCTCTCATTAACATCACTGTCAGCTCAACACAATGCCACAGATTAGGCAGCAGCAAGAACGAGCCCAGGGAGAGGAGAAGGAGGGGTACCGAGCCTGCTGCTGGGGGTCTCCCAAGGGAGCTCCCTGAGCTATGCCGGTTTTCCAGAGCTGAAGATCTCACACCATGGCTGGATTTAGAAAGGGACTGGGTAATTTTTATGACACTTGGTTATAATTGCAGTTAAGCTAGCTAATATAATGTCAGGAGGAACTAATCATCATGCTTTAGGGAATACATCAATTGCCTGCAAAGTCTTGGAAGACTTTTGGGGTAGTACTGAAGAATTTGTTATGCAAGTTACAGTATCAAAGGGATGACCCTCCACTGCAGGCTAGATATCAGCTTACTAAATAGCTTGATCTCTTATGGCAGCTCTTCTGCATACAGTAATACTGCTATTTTAAACAGAACAGGGTCAAACTCACCAGATAAGAGACCTCAACTTTATAAGGACAAGTGGTATTAGAAAAAAGGGGAAAGATTTCAAAGACTTAGCCTTGGTGCTCACAGGATAGTGAGGGATTTCTTGCATATTTCTTCTTGGACCAGACTTGTTGGGCATGACAAGTCAACGCTAGAGAAGCAACGCAAAGCTCTCTTGCACTCTGTCAACACCAAGCTGGGCTTGATCTACCACTCCCGTCCTGTACTTTCTTGCTCATGTAATTCCACTGACTTCTATGTGGATGTGGCAGCGCTGGTGAGGAGTACCGCACCAGTGAGCCCCAAACTTGCTTCCCAGTGACACTGGGATACCCTGGAGCCACAGGTATATCCGTGACTCTAGCAGAGATAATGCTGTTTTACAGCAGTGTAACAAAACCCAAGCTTGGACAGCTGGACTTACCATGTTCTGAAACCAAAGTGAATGGAGACCAGTTCATGACGTTTTTGTATACATGGTGGCACCAAAATGAATAACAACAAAAAAGGAGGTTGTCAGCACCTCGAGATACAAATCCTAAGTGACTAATAACTAGGAGTTACAATCTCTTTCTCAGTCCCTACTTCTATCCCTGCATTTAATATGTAGCCATTCCTCTTGTGCTGCTCTCTGTGCACGTTTGAACACATTCTAGTTTCACTTTAGTATAGAAGGATTCAGGGTAAGTAGTTTTATCACCTCTGAAGAAATATAAGCAAAATACAATCATTTGAGTCCACACACGCACAGCTTAAAGTATGTCATTGAGCTTTTCAGTTGCTTTGTAATTTGATTTTAACTGTATCTAACTTGATGCCAGATTTGTGCTTTAGCAAACAAACTCGTAACATGATTATTTTCAAATATCTGTTTTAGTTCAGGACATATTGTGCTAGGAAAAATAAATGATTAACCAAAGTTTTTTTCTTTTTACAAAGATGCTTGCAGGAAGGCTAGGCAAACAGATTTATGGGAAGTGTAAAAGCTACTGGGAATCTATGCAACATATTTCCAAATGTCAATAGAAACCGCATTATACCTCCTTCTACCACGGAGCTGCTTTGTTTGCTGCCCTGAGATATTTATCACTCTATACTGCTGCAATAGGCAGTTTCTAAGGCAGGTCCTGCATTGAATGAGAGGTGCTCTGGTGTTAGAATATATACCACAGATATAGATATATCTGTGCAGTGTTAGAATAGATACCGCAGCTAGGTCACAGTTGCATCGTATCGGCCTGCATATTGACGACATGCAAATGACAAATATATTTTTTGTCACAATTCTCTTGAAGATATTATAGCACAACCACACTCTTGAGGCTGTTCATATATACCTCGCTTTCTTTCTCAGCAACTCCAGTTGTCTCCTTATCCCCTGCCTCGACATTGTCCTGTATAAAGAGGAAATACGGTCATCACCTTACTCATGCTGAGGCAATGGCTGCAGAGAGATTGATATTAATCAAGCTTAATGGAAGCACGGCATGTATGGGATGAAATGAAATGAATGGCTGGATCTAAATGGGATAGTATACAGCAAGCGGAAAGATTCTTGCTGCCACATATAATCTGAAATAAAAGCAGTTATAGGCTAAAAACCAACAAATAAAACCTTTTACATATGTCATCATCATCACACTGTAAGCACCGAAGACAATTTTATTTACTTTTATTATCAGTATTCTCATAATAGCACCAGCTTTGAAGAATTTTTTAGTAAGCCACAACCGACAACACTGCTAACCTTGAAGTTTCCAGCAAGCTCAAAATTTCTCCCGTCCAAGACTCAAACTGTTCCCCTTAGAACCTGCTGCTGCTCCCGCAACTCACCAGAGTTTCAAGGCAAACTTTCTAAAACACTTACTTCTTCCACTCATGTTGGACTGCAACTCATTTAAAGGGGCTGTTCAAAAGAGGTGGGTCATAAAGTTCATAATTTTTTTGCAGAATCACCTTTCTCTAGGTCCATATTCAGTGGTACATGCGGCAGGTGCCTGACATTTAAAAATTAGACATGTGCCAGTGGTTTTCCAAATCTGACACCCATTTAGGTGTTCAAGGGATCGAATGCACTGAACGGTAATGGGCTCCCCCCAAATAGTACTTTTTACAGCACAGATGCCATCTAACACTAGCTCCTTTTCAACAGAAGGTCAACAGTCAAAATCGCTAAAATTCAGGCCTGGTTTGG